TACTACATTGCACTCTATGGTTAATTAAACAACTTGAAAGGAATAAAAGTCGCTTAAGTTTTCTGACCAGAAGCCTATAACCTTGATCCTAAAATGCTCTCGTTCTGACTAAAAGCGTTTCCGAGCTTTGGAACTACTTTGCACCTTTCAGCGTATTGAGTCAGAATAGATGTCGGTAAAATTGCTTTCTATTGAAGAAGTGTTTCCTTTTCCTAAGTGATGAAAAATTCAAGGTATACTTAGGGGAAAAAATTGACTCCTTTTTTGACCAAACTGATAGTACGTGCACGCATGTTAAAAGCCGTGAGATTAAGCGCTATTGAGAATGTCAAGTTCATTCAAATAATTTTGATTAAGGAAGTTTTCACTAATCTTCACTAGGCAGGTGTTGTTAGGACAAATTATTTCTTAATTCAAATACGGAAAACCTGCAGATGAATGAAAAAGGGGCTTATTGCAGGCAGAATAATCGCGATAAAAATTTAATAGGTGTAATACACACAAACATATTCTAATACTAATGTGCTTCCCGTTTTTTTCGTTGAATGAGGCTAAAGAAGCCTCATAACCGAGGCGAATAAATGAATTTTAAAAGCTGACATTTCTATTAATGTATCAAGCTATGCTTAATATTTCTCTTTGAGTAGATCAACGAGAAAATGAGTGAATTTAGAAGCCAATGTTAGCGAACTGGTTGCCAAAATAAGAAACGCTCTACACCTTATTGTGGAGTAATTCCGATTAGTTCGAGTTTGCGTCACTCCACTGCTCACTGTTTGTTTGGTGTTTCCTCTGTTGTTTTCGTTACTGCTGCTGTAATTGATCTTGTTAACGCACCATTTACTTTCATATCCAAGCTATTGGGAAGAAAATGCTCGAGATTTTTGCAAGTTCACAGGGAAAACAAGTTGAAATAAAACAGACAGACATTTTTCAGGGCTTCGTGTCAATCATTGGCAATGTCGAGTGAGCTGTGAAATACCATCCACATCATACTCCACACAGGCAACTTTATTTGCCTGAATGTAGGTCGTGCTTTGAGTATGTTGAGGAGAATCACAATCACGGTCCCCATGTACACCAGCATTAACAGTATTGAGAGCCAGTTTCAACAAAATACAAATAAACGAAACTTGGAAAAGTTCCTTGCATTCAAAGCCACTCAGTAACCACTGCGCAGCGCAACGTACAGCAACGCAACATGACGTAAATAGGTGCTCGACTATTTCGCAGAATTTAATTCTGTTATAGCTTCTGTAAAGAGGTCCCCATCATAACCTTACTTGAGGCTTGAGTAGTCTTCTGCAATTGGTCTTTGTTCGTACAACGCTCGAAATCCGCTCAACAAAACATCTCCTATGCCACTAAATGTAAAAAGGAGCAAAAGTAACTGCTCTTAGAAAATTAATATAGGTAAAAAGTTTGTAAAAATAAGTCTGTAAAAATCACCATAAGCGTATAAGCACCTAAGTAACCCGTACCAACCACAATAATCGCTGAACAAGTTGTACATGTAATCATTTCATTATGATATTTTTAATAATAATTGGTTGAATCTGTCCGTCATACGAATGATAATGAAAAATAAGGTACTTGTTTTGAGCCCCTTAAACATCAGTTAGTTACATAATAATTCTTAAGAGAATCAGTGGGAAGATGTGCAACGATCTGTGAAATTCAGACGTACCTAAATTCATGGTATTGATTAGAACCTTGACGTAATGATAAAAACAAGGCACAAAAAAAGGGAAGAAAGATCTCAGTAAAACTGCGATGAACTGAGTCAATTACTCCTTAGCCAAGGTTTTTATGTATAATCTTGTAGTCCTGGAAAATATGAAAGGCTTTGTTGGATAAGAAACAATGTTACATAATAAATAGTGAGGTCCCATGCATTCATGTTACTTAAATTACATTTGGATTTTTAATGATTTTAGATAAATGAAATTCATATATTGGCACTGCGGTGAAGAAACGAGTTTAAGAGATCCTCGCAGCTAAGAACACTACTGAACTAGTAGTTGAAAATAGGACCTGAAAAAAAATTTAGACCCGCACTGCAGCGCTCTACCAACTGAGCTAACAAGCCAACTGGGAGCTAATCAATATATTGGGTCCAAATAAACCATCCAAGTGATGAATAATGATTTTAGATATATGAAATTTATATATTATTGAATTAAACATTTTTATTTATTAAACAAAGTTTGCAAATTACATAACGAAGCGTACCCTCAAAGTTTAATACGACAGCCGCACTATTCTCCTCAATGCCTTCCAAGCAGCTGAGACCTCTTAAATATTTTATATCTAGTTATAAATTTGAGTCTTTTACGACAGGCAATCATATCTAGGTTCTGAAAATTCAAAATACGGCTTTCAGAATATTGTTTGGTTCATGAATGCTGCAACGAAAAGCCTGAGGGTGGAAACGTGCTTCTGAGTTAAAAGTTCCTGCATTTTGTTTTGACCATCCCGAGTTTCGAAGTTTCCACGTGTGGACAGGAGGGAGGGGGGAGAGGGGATACAAAGACACAGTCTCAGGTGACCTCAACATATAAGTTCCGCCAACCAGGGTACGGCTCTAGGAATATTGGATCTTAACTAAGGTACACAATTTGACTAATTCGTGCTTTGAATAGAGCGTCTCTCTGGACTGATGCAGCCAAGAATAGATTTCTAATTCTAACAGTCATAAATATGCTAAATGAAGCTCCCTGAAATAGATATGTCATTTTATGTTTTCTTGTTTTTACACAATCGTGTGTTAAAAAAGTTAGCCTGATATCCTTCTCCTGGCCCATGCATATTCTTTGCATCAGAGAAGTCAGACAGCTTCCCTATTAGCCAAAGTATTTTACCCCTCACATCTCGAAACCTCCGAATATCAAACACCATATGCAACACGAGATAAGTACTACAAGATATAGAAATAATGAAGGGCTTCAAAGCTGCCCGTAAAAATGACTTATCTTAAAGTCTTTACTGAGAGCTTCACTCTGTGTCGTCTTGTGCTTTCTCGCTCTGAATAACCTTTGAAAGACAACTTGAGATGGGGGGGCACAGTGGATGCCTTCAAACTGTGACTCCTCCTTCAAACAAAATCTACTCATTTTGCTCTCCCGTTCATGAAAATGTGATTGTAGCATACTGGATAAAAAAGATGTTAGCACCACAAGGCAAACATGTTTACAAGCTAGAAATCGAGAAGAGACGCATATCCCCAAACTATCTTTCAGGGTAAAGATCCGAACAATTGAGGCGCAAAAGGGATCCAGAAATTCTTTTGTTCAGCTTTACTTCTTTAGGTAATTTATCTGGAAAACCCTTCAACGTTCTCTCAACCAATCAAAATCGAAATTGAAACAAATGGCGACTTGGTCCCTTGAAGTTTCCCGCGCCTGACACAGTTTGCTAGTTCAATTATGGATCCTCATTGGCTCCTTGTGGTATTTTCCTTTCCTCTGATCGGCTTTTTTATCAATTTGCTTTTGGTACTCGTAGATTGCATTAGCAGATTCGAGCTCTTCTTGTCAGTGAAACTAAAATGTTACTCATGCATCATCTAAAACACACAAAATTTTAATTTAATTTTTTTCATTAGTCGTCTCAAGCAACTTTACAAAGAGGAACACATTTTGAAATTCACAATTCCCGACTTGTGAGTAAACTGTTTACAGCGAATCACCTAACATAAGATGAAAGGGCATTAAAAACAAAAGAACCTTTTCATCACTCAAAATGAGAGTAAACAGAGTTTTGCTTCCTTATGTCAAAGAATAAAACCACTGATGTCTTTATGTTTGAGTTGTAAATTAACTCCTAACTCTAATTCGCACTCAAGTCAAATTACACCGACCAAGATTGATAGCTGGCCGTGGTCTACGTTGTTGTTCTCTTGTAAGTAGGCCGTCATTGGCACAAATCATTTCCAAAAAAAAAAAACGGAAAGAAAATGCTCCGGCAAAGATTCTAGAGATTTTGTAATTCGGTGTTTAATAACGCACCCTTTAGCCATTTAAATTACGTGTCAGTCTTAATGGCTTTGGGTGGGTTTAAATGAAATGTAATGGAACTATTCTACAATCTTTTAAGTCATGAATTTAGTGAAAATGTCGTAACAATTGCTTATTGTTAAAAGGTGTTTCCCCTCTAGGTGATAATAAATGCAACGGAAGTATTAAATAAAGTTGATTGTGACACAACAGGCGGTTCTTTAGCTGTTTTTAGTTCGTGAACGCTATCGTAAAGGTGGTTATGCTCATATGCAGAGCGGAAGTAAGTTTCAACGGTAGGGCGAGTGTTGTTAAGTTAAGAAATTTTTCGTTACTATAGTGGATGATCTGTTTGGAAAAGGATAGGACTGCTTTAGATTAGCGGCGAGAACTCAGAATTTATCAGAAGACGGAGCACAAACCAAAACCATGGAATGTTCCCGGTCTCTCGCAAGTGCAATACAACCGTATGCATATTATCTCTCGACATTCCATATTCTGCTTTCCCTAACAGCAATTCTTGGCAATTCTCTTATCCTTTTTGCCCTTCGCAAGGAATCCTCCCTTCATCCGCCGTCCAAAGTCCTTTATCGTTGCCTTGCAACAACAGATCTGTTAGTTGGCCTTATCGTTCATCCTTTGGCTGTCATCCATTGGATGTCCTTTATTCACGAAGACTGGGGTCGTTGTCGATGGACAAACCACGCAATTTTCATCGCAGGCTATGCGTTATGTTCAGTATCTTTGTTGACGATGACGGCCATAAGCGCGGACAGACTTCTCGCCCTGTTGTTGGGGTTGAGATACAGACAAATTGTAACTGTAAAGCGCATCCATGTCATTTCAGTTTTCTTTTGGATTGCATCCGGCGTCTTTGCTTTATGCCAAAGCTTAATTTACCACATAACATGTTGGTACGGCTTTGCAGTTACAGCGTTTTGCTTGATGATATCATCCGCATCTTACACAAAGATTTTTAGAGCTCTTAGTCGTCATCAAACTCAAATACAAGATCATGGTCAGCAACATCCGATCCAACCAAATGCATTAAACATCGCACGATACAGAAAGGCAGTGTACAGTGCGCTGTGGGTGCAGTTAGCTTTATTCGTCTGTTATCTACCTTATTGCATTGTGGTAATTTTGACCGCTTTCAGTAAAATATCTCAAACACATTTAGCCGTCAGTGGGACACTAACGCTGATTTTAGTCTCCTTTAACTCAACTTTGAACCCGTTCCTTTACTGCTGGAAGATTAGCGAAGTAAGACAGGCAGTAAAGCAGACAATCAGACAAGTATTACGTTGCTTGTAAGGTGAATTTCTGTTCGGGTTAGATTGTATTGATCCTTATAAAGCTAGAGACTGAAATTACTGTTAGAAGAGAGTGAACCAGTATGTCTTCGGATAAGGACAATAAAGACTTTAAACGCTTATGCACTGGCTATCGCTGCATAGTGAGTGAAGACAACATTACAGATTTCCTCACAAGTGATGAAAACCCGATAGATAGACCCTTATTATTGAAATGGTTGTAACAATTGGAGTTTTCCCTATAATGCGCCCAAAATATGAGAAATCACCGATGTTTTATGTTTTCTACTTTAACCAATTCGCACTTAAATTAATTTCTACAAAGTAAAAATAAACTCATAACTTTTAATGAAATAAATTGTTTTTCTGAAATTGCTTAAAATACACATCACCTGCGCGGATTATTGCTTTACTTAAAGGTAAACTGCTAGTTGTTGTCCACACCACTCAGTGCCTGCGCCTTTCCTACATTACACTCTACGATTATGAAGCACCTTAAAAGGATTACAAATCGCGTGGGTTTTCTGACCATAAATACTATAACCTTGATTCTAAAATGCTCCCGTTTTGACTAATGGCGTTTCAGAGCTTTAGAAATACTTGACACCTTTTAGCATATTGGGTCACAATAAATATCGTTCAAATTGCTTTCTGTTGAAGAAGTTTTCCTTCTCCGGCCTAAGCGATGAAAATTTCAATTCAGGTATACAAAAGCGAAACATTGACACCTTTTTTAACACAACTGATAGTACATTCACGCACAAAAGATTAAGCGCTATTGAAAATGTCAACTTCATTCTAACAATTTTGATTAAGAAAGTTTTTGTTAAATGATAAAATTACAATTATAGTTAATCTACAATACCGTAAGGGTTTTCTGTATTGGTGTTAGAAAGAAAAGGAATGGAAATATTATATT